CACAGTCGTAACGGTTGACGCAACGCGGAGTCGTGACTGGAGTGGCAACTGACGAGGTTGCTCAAGCAAGGCGGTAGCCCTTTGTGCCATTTGTCGATGTAGCGGAGAGCGTGGGTGGTGGAGCCGTGGTCGAGGTAGCCGTGCGAAGAATGTCGTGGTCGATGTCGAGTCGGGGTGGCCGGTGTCGAGGAAGTCGCCGAGGAGCCGCGGGCGCAAGAGGGCGCCGAGTTAGCATGGGCGTAGTGGTGTCGAAGTAGGGGTGCGCCAGGAAGAAAATGTTGTTGACGACGCGTCACGGCGGGTTTGCCAAGCCCGGGGACACATCATGGACGAAGGCACACACCGGTGTTGCCAGCACCGGGCATGCGTAGACAAACGAATACGAAGTTGACGAAGCGCCGACCAGGCTTGCCAGGCCCGGGGACACGTCGTGGATGAAGGCACGCATCGGTGTTGCCAGCACCGGGCATGCGTAGACGAGGGACCTGCACGAGCTGTACGCCATGTCGGAGAAGTGTGAGGGGCCAGCAGAGAAGAACTCGACGATGCTTGCGGCGTCCATCGAGGCGGTGCTGATGTCACCAACGGTGGTCGGAATAGACGAAGTGGTCGGGGTAGATGACGGCGACGCTGGCGACGGGCTGGTGCTGGATGAAGACGAACGGGGTGGCGGGCGGCGGCGGTAGCTACAGAGGTAGCCGCGGCGGCGGCCAAAGAAGAGCGGCGGCGGCGGCTAGGTTAGAAGTGCGGCGGGAGTGCTCGAAGTAGGCGAAGGACCCTGATAGCATGACGAAGACCGGCGCGGACGATGGCGTTCCCGCGCCAAGGAAGACGGCGCGACGCATACCACGGGGGGTCGATGCGCGGTGACGGCGGAGCTGACCACGGGCCGCGGCGCTACGGCCCGAAGGGGCGACACAGCGGCGGCAGGCGGGTCGGGGCGACGGCGGGAAGACCTCGGGGCGGCGGCGGGGACCGCGACGCTGCGTCCCGAAGGGGCGACGCAACGGCGGTGCGCGAGTCGGTGCAGCCGCGGGGACGGCCTCGGGACGGCGGCGGGGACCGCGTATCGCGGCACTACGGCCCGAAGGGGCGACACGGCGGCGACGCACGAGTCGATGCAGCCGCGAGGAGAACGACGGGGCGGCGGCGCTGCAGCCCGACGAGGCGACGCAGCGGCAGCCCGATGCTTGATCGATGGAGAGGCGCGCTGAACTCGGGGACGGTCTTCACGGGACATGCAGAGGCGTGCATAGCCGACTGGCCAGGTCGGTCGCGCGGCGTAGATGAGGCGGATCGCGGCGGCGAGCGGGTGATCAAGCCGATCACGCGCGAGGTCGGGGACGCCGCTCGGTGGAGGCGTGTTGGCGGCAGAGTCCGAGATGAAGCCGGCGACGACGGACGCCGTAGGACATCGCGGACGAGCTTGTCAGCACCGGCACCTGGGCTACCAAAGCAGTGTCGGCGCTCGGGCAGCGAGGCCCGAGCGACCAATGGAGCAGCGGCGTCCGAGTTGAGGCAGCCGACGAGCCTGACGTAGCCGTCCGGACGCAGCCGAGAACGAGGCCGGGGAGGTAGACCGCTGGGCCATTGTGCAGACGCGGCAGAGGTGGGTGATGTGGATCGATGGACGGACCGACGCGCGAGCGACGGCTATGATTGGCCGTCGCATGGCGCGAAGCCGCCGGGTCGGGGCGATGCAGGTGTCCCGGTCGGAGCAGGGCGGTGACGGCCGGTGCAGGGCAACGCGCGGACCGACGCGCGGACGGCGGCTGGCCTGGACGGGCCGCCTCGGCGCGCGTGGCCGCCGGGTCGGAGAAGAGGCCGGCTGGTCGCGCCGGGGTTGGAGTAGAGGCGCACAGGGGTCAACGACGGCGGCGGGCGACGGAAACCAATCAAGATTAGATCGGAAAACCAAAAAGAAAAACGTCGACCAAAACGAGCGGCGAGAGAGCGAAAAAAACCGGAGCAAGGGCTCGGGAAAAAGATTCTCTAGGGCAGCCGGCCAACACGGCCGGTGGGCGAACCCTAGGTACGGGCGGCGCGGCCCCGGCGGCGGTCATGGAGACCGACCGCCCCGGGGCGGCGCGTGGATGCGGAAGCGGCGGCGGCTAGGGTTTAGGATCGATTTGCGATAGATACCATGTTAGAAGGGAAAGATGAATTGGTGTAATAGTTTATTGTATTGATTGAGTCTCGTAGTCATATATATAAAAGTACAATCATCTACTTGAAGTACAAGACAAGCCAGAACAAATTCTATATATAAAAGTACAATCATCTACTTGACGTACAAGACAAGCCAGAACAAATTTTAATCTATCTCGTCTTTCTTAATAAATATTATACTCAACAGTTCCCGTTGTCAGGCAGGTTGCTGGGTGAAGGAACTCGCAGGCACGTTTCGAGTTCAGCTGTCGCCGAAGCAGCACTACTACCTACAGGTCCAAGGTTTGCTGAAGTACTACTTACATTGATTAGGTTTTTGAAGAGCCATCGCTTCTTGACCCCTACACCTACTCACCAATAGCAACAATCTCTGTGTCACTACTCACCAACGTGCTCAACGCTAAGAGTTTGATTATTAATCTGTGTGTGCTTTTGTTATAGGCAGTGCTTCTCTTGAATTTACTGATTTTTATGGTGCGTGACTCCTTGGCAGGCAACTCAATCCTATTCCATGGCATGAGTTCATGAATATGTATACGACAGTTTGCAAGCAGTAAGATGTCTGCTGCTTTCCTGCAGTATACACGGACAATGTGAAGTAATATATTTTCCTTTCAACTTTTTGTATGGGAAATCAGTATCGTAATGTCATTATTTTTGGTGTCCTGGACATCATATAGTGTGCATGCATTTAGTGTTACAGACAATCATATGAACCAGCTAAATATAGTAATCTTAATTATATTCATGAATTTCACCTGCAAAAAAAATTACATTCATGAATTTGCACTAAATATTGTTGCTATCTTTTTTTTGTGAAATAATATTGTTGCTATCTTGCAATTCTATTTGCATTGCTTGTGGATCCTAGGCTTATATGGGTTTATGTGAGCTTTCTGCTTATTCTAATATTAAAAGTTATCAAGAAACCTTTCAAATCAAAAAATGAACCAAGATAAGTGTCGTTAAGAATCAAATTAACCAGCTAACAATGTTCATTTTGTGAAGTTTTCTCAATGTAATATTATAAAAGTATCCTTGAGATTACTACTTACGAGCATGTTTGTTGGTCTTTGTGAAAACATGCTGGGCACTTTTTTTTCTAATAATGAAAGGATCCAATATAACTTATTTTTTGTATTGATCACTGTGAATTAATTGTATAATGTGTTGTAATTAGCATTGGACGTGTCACTGAGGAGTCGGACTCGAAGTCCCTGGTGTGTCCAACATGAACTCTCGCTTTTCTATGTTATATTACCCAAAGGATTAAGGATCTTTGTGCAATACTTTTCTCTCCGAATTTTGTGAGCGGTATTGGCTAAACTTTATTGAGTTCCTAATTTCTTTTAAGGAGAAGTTCCTAACTTTATTTTCTTTCATGGGGGAAAGTATGTTGATGTAGGTAAAGAAATATTCTATGAGATTAGCATGTCTTATTTAGAAAATTTTGGATCTTGAAAAAAATTGACTAAAAATTGCATGAAAAATGAATGTATTTATGCATATATTACCATAAATAAACTTGAATATAAACTATTTTTCCCGTTGCAACGTACGGACATTTGTGCTAACCATGATTAAAGATGAATAGATCTGAAGTTTTCTCACAAAACAAAGAGCATGATAATTTTTATTATTTTTGGTGTCGTTACTATTATGATTAAAGGTGAATAGATTGAAAGTTTTCTCGTAAAATAAAAAGCATGATACAAAGTTGAGTCACTTATTAATTTTAGGACGGAGGAGTATCTAATATTTCATTTCGGTTGAATGGGGTTGATGCGTTTACTGAACGCTACAGCCGTGCTTCCCTACCTGGTACTTTTACTGTTTTACCTTTTTGTTTGACATGCCCTACTGATAGATCAGAACAACCACATAGGAATTATGAGGACCAACATGGGAATCTAGAGCAAGCACAAGAAAGAAAGAAACCAGGCTTCTATCTTCCATTCAGATTCAGTACTACACATTTGCATCCGTTATACTCCCTTCGTTCCCAAATACAAGTCTTTTTTAGAGATTTAATATGATCTACATACAGATGTATATAGACATATTTTAAAGCATAGACTCACTTATTTTGCTCCGTATGTAGTCCATATTGGAATCTCTAAAAAGACTTGTATTTATGAACGCTCCCAGGGAGTATCAGTGCGATCGGTGGACATATAAAGAGCTTCACTAGTTACATATTTTTCTCTCCTATACAATTTTATATTTTTATAATCACACTGTCACTGAACTTGGGTACACTAATTCATGCTCAGCTGTAGTTACCAGATACTCGTCTGCTCACTCCATCGCTTGAAATGCCAAAACTAGATACATGCAATCTACTCCCTTCGTTCCTAAATATTTGTCTTTTTAGGGATTTCAAATGAACTATCACATACGGATGTATATAGACATATTTTAGAGTATAGATTCACTCATCTTGCTCCGTATGTAGTCACTTGTTGAAATCTCTAGAAAGACAAATATTTAGGAACGGAGGGAGTACAAGCATGGTGATCCCTTCTGATTGAAAAATGGCACAATCATCTAGAATCTCTCTTTGCTCACTCCATCAGAGAATTCCTTCTTTAGTTGGCTTCACAGTTCAGTAATCCTGCCCTGCGTTGGTTAGCTGGAACAGGAATTGTCCAGATCGTGAGGGGCGGATCCTTCAGGCCACACTATCATTAGCATAGCAAATGACTGGGGAACAAAGACCAAACAATGGACTGTGGACAGTAAAAAAAATATCTGATGAGGAGTAAGGCACTATATAAATCAAACCATCCAACATAAAGTGAGAAAAGTGAAAGAGCACAGATCAGTTACCACTAGCGTATCTTCAATGCTTCCCTAAGACCAAAGCTCATCTGTCCTTGTCCCTTTTTCCCTAGTGGATTATTCCCCTTCTGCATCATTGTTACAAATTCATTGTAGTCGATCCGGCCATCCTGGAGACAGAAAAGGGGATAAACTTCTTTATCTCTAGTATCTAATACATACATTTTATAATGAGAAAAAATCTACTTACATTGTCTTGATCAATGTCTCGGATAATATCGTCAAGATGTGCATCTCCTATACCAAACTCTTCACATGCTTTTTGCAGTTCATCTTGAGTAATGTAACCACTGCCATCTTTATCGAAGTATGAGAATGCTGCAAACAAATTATCTTCTCTCTCGACCTTGTTCAGATGCAATGTTGCCGCAAGGAATTCCCCATAATCAATTGACCCACTGTTATCAATATCCGCCTGAAAATTGCACAACACATATCTTCGTTCAAGCAAGGCCTAATGAACATGTCTCATATCTAATACAAGTAGTACATGTACAGCTAATACTCCTCAAGTGCAGTCTTTTGCCAGAACATGAAAGGGATACTCTCACATGGCAATGAAAATTTCAGAACCACAGAAGTTTAGAAGAAATACAATAGCTTATGATCTTTTTACGAGTAAACAGTACTCCCTCCGTAAATAAATATAAGAGTGTTTAGAAGTAGTGATCTAAACACTCTTATATTTATTTACGGAGGGAGTACCAATGTCAAGAATGCTATGCCCAACTGTCAAGCTATAGATGTCTCAAGAACCCTAATTTAAGAAAGCTTTCTTGAGCTTGTAGGGCTTGATAAAAAGCAATATATTATCTTAGAAAGCATACAACTGAAAATACAAGTGCCATGCTGCGATAAATACGTTAGAACAGTTACCGCTTCCATTAGAGTTGCGATTTCTGACTCTTTTAAGTTGGCACCAACTCTCTGCAAGCCAGTTTTTAGTTCCTCCAATGTGATTTGGCCACTATTGTCAGTATCAAGCATTTTGAACATCTCTCTCAATCCTGCAATTTCATCTTCAGACAGATTCTCAGCAATTACCTATACGCATAACCAAGTTTAACAATAGCATCAATACTGAACATGCTTAATCAATATGCTTGGTAAAAAACCAAAGGAAAATTTACTGCAATACTCACTCTAAGGGCCATCTTCTTTAGTTTATTCATTGCTGAAAATTGTTTCAATCTAGTTAAGACAGCAGAATCAAGTGGCTTGTCAGGAGCAACTCCATCAACACAAACCCAAGGATGACCTGCCAATGTAAAGATGGCTCACTACAATAAATACTGATGCGAATACGACACTGGATGGCAAAATAGTAGTTTCAACGTGAAGTGGTGTTTATGCTTCGATGTACTCACATAGAGCTTCATGTGCAGTCAATCTCTTTCCGGGATCACGGTTCAGCATTTTCCTAACCAAATCCTTTGCACTCTTTGAGATACTGGGCCAGGGCTCGGATGAAAAATCAAGATCACCTTGCAAAACTTGTTCAAATATCCCTTGCTCAGATTCTGAAAGAGACCAGCATCCACAATAAAATAAAGAAGCGGATAACTGTCAATATTGTGTAAAAGGATGAGGTATAATAATGTGGCTAGAAGACTAGATGCATGTTTACCATCCCAGAATGGAGGGACCCCGCTCAACAAGATATAAATTATTACTCCGGCACTCCAAACATCTACTTCGCAGCCATACTGTTTCAGCAGAACCTCAGGGGCGACATAGTAAGGACTTCCAACGACATCTGAATAAATTCCACCTGTAAAAGCAATCATTTTAATGCATATTGCACAGGAAGACTTGTAGGAATAGTGATTACTTCCATAGCAGTTTCCATGTCTGAATATGTATATGTTGTAAGGTATAACATTCTAAAATCTTCAACTATCAATGTGCATGACCATGCATGTCCTTTTATTTCGAAAAAACTGTGGTCTGCAATACCCATTCCATAGCCAAAAGCCGGAACAGAAAGGCGGAAGCCATACATTTCGGTTGCACTTCCAAAATAGGCTCACCAGTCACCACAATCATATGACATCATGCTCAAGAATTCAGAACTTTGCGTGGAGTTTGGTCATCTGAAGGTTCATCACTTGCCATAACCATATACTCCACACCTGGATCGTGTATACAATCTCAAAAGCCATATATTTCCGAGATGTAAGTCTTCCAGATATCATGATATTCTTTATGATTTCACATGGCTGCCATAGCAGGTGAGCAAATAAAAGAAATTCAATTGGTGATGATATGCACTGATGACCCTTTGGGATAAAATGATAATATTCTTAGTCAATGTAGCATTACGAAGTATATGCAATCAAACGAGTACTGTGCATTTGACATCATCTGAAGGTTTTTGTTCAATTAATTAAACCAGTATCTAGACTCGATAGTCAATATTCATAACTATTTGCATAGGAGCTTGGTCGCGGGTTTTGTGATTGTGCAGAAACTCAGGCCCTGTTTGTCAGCTTTAGGCAGCAGATTCTCGTAAGAAAAATCAAAAGCCGAAATAAACAGCTATTTGGAATCAGCTTTGCCAGTGAAGCTGAATCTGGATTCGGGCCATTTACAGCGCAATTGCCTGAAGCACATCCAGGTGTACTTCAGTGGCAAAGCTGATCCGCAGAATTAGCTTTGCCAGTGAAGCGAATCTACAGGTGATTCGAAGCCAACTGAAGCTGAAACAAACAGGGCCTCAATCTTATCATCACATAAAACTCCATGTCTACCTTCCTGTGCAAGTACACAGCCTTGAGCAGCAATTTCACATTCACACATGGACAAAGAAGGGCCAAATTATTACTCTTATCTAAAGTGCAGCGACATAAATTAAGTTCTCACAAGTTACAAGCTTGTGTCTCCAAGTTACTGTTATATTTGAAGACGCTTAAGTATTACTACTGTCACACAATGTATTTATCCCTGAAACTGGAATTATGAGTCCATTACTAGACATGAAAACTCGATCAAGAACACTTCAAATAATCCTAGCAGTCTAGCACAATAATATTCAACAGCTCGTATTAAATAAAGATTCTCAACTAAAAGCTGCAAGTGCACCAATACAACACATCCACCTGGCTAAGTTAGCAGAATAGCAGCTCAAGCTAGCACTGTCCATGATATATATAAAAAAATGCACCAGCAAAATGTCATGCACGTTCTACACTACAGCCAGCACCAAGGATAGAGGCCATACCTGGTTTGAAAAAGATAGAGAGCCCGAAATCAATGGTCTTGAGTGGCGAGTCCTCCTTTTGGTTGACAAACAAGAAATTCTCTGGCTTGAGGTCTCTGTGCATGACCCCAAGAGAATGGCAAGCCTCCACAATCCCAATGATCACCCTAGCCAGCTGCGCGGCGGCCTTCTCAGAGTAGTGCCCCCGCTGTATGATCCTGTCGAACAGCTCCCCTCCCGCACAGAGCTCCATGACGAGGTGCACGGCAACAGCATCCTCGTAAGCCCCGACTATGGAGATCACGTTCGGGTGGCCGGCGAGGTGGTGCATAATCTGGATCTCGCGGCGCACATCCTCGACGTCCTCCTCGGTGACGAGCTTCCGCTTTGCGATGGACTTGCAGGCGAACTCCTTTCCCGTGGCCTTTTCGACGCACTTGTAGGTGGTGCCAAACTGGCCCTGTCCCAGCTTCTTGCCTAGGGTGTAGAGGTCCTTGATGCGCTCCGAGTCGCGCTTGAGGACGGATTCGGCGATGAGGCCGGCGCTCTGGACGCGCTTTACCTTGGGCTTGTTAGGGTCGGAGGAGGGAGAGGAGAGGTCGGATTCGTCGACATCGGGGCCCGCGGACGAGGTGGAGGAGCACATGGAGGGGCAGGAGTCGGGCGGTGGGACCGCCGGCTCGGCGCGGGCGGCGCCGGGGCGCCACAGTACGGCGACGGAGACGGTGCTGAAGAATCCGTGGCGGTCCGCCGTGGCGCTGGGGCCGGCGCTGGGGCCGGCGCAGGTGTTCCCCATCGCGCCGGCGATGGGGGCGGCAGAGGCCTAGGCAAACGGCGGCAGCAACGGCGGCATGCGGCGGCGTCGAGACTCGGGGATTGGATCGGAGGAGGATTGGTGGAGGAGAGGAGATGGCCGGAGATGGCCGAGGCGGGTAGGGGCTCGTGCGGCTGACATGTGGCCCACGTGAAACTGCGCGCCCGGCTTTGGCAGTGGGCACAGGGGGCGTGTCGAGGAAGCGAGGGCTGCGCGGGATTGGCGATGCGCGCCCGATCGGACGGCGGGGATGGTCGGATAATTTGCGTGTTTTGCTGCTGCCACGTAGGATGCAGGAAGCGACGTGGATCCTTCCTCTCTGTCTATTCCTCTCTTACTGTGTCGCGCGTACAACGGTGATGGATCCTCGCAACGGTGGTGCGCCGTGGTTATTAGATGATTGGTCGGACAACGGACAGAGTGGCATTCCAGAGCAAGACGGAGACATCAGTGGTTCGGGAGCTCGGTTGCCAGATCGCCATGGCAGTTTGGAGTCCGAGACAGGAGGGGGGCGGCTATGCCGCCGACGGCGTCGGCGGCCGCCGCTTTCATGGTGCTGCGATTGGCCAGTGCGGTTCCCCTGCTTCGGATCGGTGTCCCCCTCCCCCCCCAATGTGCGCGGCGGGCCAGGCCAGTCGGGAGGCCCCACATGTGATGGCATTGGACAGGATAACGCGGGGACAGTCGGCTTTTGACCGGCTGACTACTGCACCAGGGTCCGCGAAACGTTCGAGTGGCCGCCACGAAGGAGTCTCAAATTCGATGGGCGGGAGAGATGCTACGAGGGAGGGGCCTGCGCATATGGAGGCAACCACGCCAATCATGAGGCCGGTGGGGCACGCGGCCTCGGATCCGCCGCCCAGCCAGCAGCGGTTGGCGAGGGAGCCGTTGGTGCAGGCCCAAGAGCCTGCTGCTCTGTTGACCCCATCGGCCCCGCTGCACGACGAGCAGGTGGGCGGGCTCTTAATCAGCATGCAAGGCGAGCAAAGAACCCACAGTGAAGAGGCAGCGCGTCGGGAGGATTGTGACAAGGGGGCCAGTAGGGCCCAGTAGCACATGCAACACGTACAGAGGATAGCGACAAGGGGGGTCAGGAGGGCCTAGCTGCATAAGAGTTGCGGGAGGGCCCGGTGAATCTGGAATCACGTGTGCCCATACAGAATGACAAGGCTGCATGCTCCTCGGTAGAGGGTGGAATAAATAAAGCCACTGCAATTGAGGCCCAGCCAGTGCTGGAGGAGGGGCCCCACATTGATGGGAGCCATACACATGCAACTGCTGAGACAAATACGTCCGTTTCGAGAGTTTTGGAGGGCCTGGAACCTGAACACCAGATGGGCTTGGAAAAGGAGACGAAGCTCATTACCAATGCATGTAGGAGCCTGGTCTGCGCACCGTAGAGGGAGGATATAGAGGAGATGACAGCCAATGAGGTGGTGGCGTATGACAAGCTCAAGAGTTTCTGCTCGAACATCATCAAGCGCCTCGCCCCACCGCTTGTCAAGGAGGTGTAGGCATCGCAACTTCGCCCGGAAGCTGAACCCTTCATTTCCAAGAGAACCACCATGGCCTCCAAGAAGACCACGGCGACAAAAGACCCAGAGACACACCCGTGGAGAACGTGCTGCTCCACGCCTTAGGCATGGTCCCGGACGACCTGGAGGTAGATGACGATGTCCTGCATGAGCTCAAGGCGCTTTTCGACTCGTTGTTGTGCGAGCAACATGTCCGGATCATCGCGGCGCTCTTCGGCAAGACGATCCCGTCGGTGGAGGAAATGGAGGCACAAAACGCAGTAATGGTGTGTGCTTAGCTAGGATCACCTAGCGATGTTGTGGTACATTCCTTCATGGATCTACACCCATAGGTGATCTGCTGAAATGCTCGCGGTTTGAACAATCCAGCAAAACGAAAGGCAGTGCAGGAATTTGTGGGCACGTTAGTGGTCAACTTGATTTTCTTTCAAGAAACAAAGATGGATGTAATAGACCAATTCATAATTATGCAATGTTTGGGGCCATATTTTGATGGCTTTGCTTACTTGCCGGTGTTGGAGACTCGCGGTGGAGTGCTGTTAGCTTGGAATAGCTCGGTGTTGGAAGTGGAAGTCACTCAATTCGACACGAACTTTGTCACGGGACGGGTGCGCACCAAAACTAGGGATTCTTGCTGGATTTCAGTGGTCTAAGGACCACAAGGGGATGAGCGCAAGTGCCAATTACTGGAGGAGCTTAGGATGAGACGTGCGATATGCCCTAGAGCTTGGCTCATGTTAGGCGATTTCAACATGATACTATGAGCTTCAGAGAAAAGCAACAACAATCTTAATAGGAGCATGATGAACAAATTTAGGGAATTTGGGGAGGACCAACACCTTCGTGAGATGTACATGCACGGGAGAAAGTACACGTGGTCCAACGAGTGGGAATCACCTGCCGCAGGCGCTGTCCACGGGAGTCTCTGACCACGCGCCCTTACACCTTACCACGAGTGTGGGTTTTGCCCCAAAAAGCGCTTCAGATTCGAGCTATTCTTGACCAAACTGGAGGGGTTCGAGGAGGCGGTGAGGGAGGCCTAGGTATGCGATCCCGTGATTGTAGACCCGTTCAAGAGGCTTTCCTACTGCGCAACTCGGCCGTGGCCCTACAAGCATGGGGCCAGCGTAAAATCGGAAATGTTAAACTGACGATGAGAGTGGCTACATGGGTTATTCATAGATTGGACATTGCATAAGAGAATAGAGCGCTGCTCACGGAGGAAGCATGGCTTCGTCGTACTCTTAAGAAGGCGCTCCTGGGCATGGCGGCCTTGGAAAGGACAATTGACCGACAACGTTCCAGACTTAGATGGATTTGAGCAGGAGATGCCAACACCAAGATTTCCCAGGCAGTGGCTAATGGGAGGAGGGCCAAGAACTTCATTGCGCATGTCAAGCTTGGTGACTCTATCATTACTGACCAAGAGAGAAAGGTGGAGGTCTTTGGGGACGGCACAAGCTAGGGACAACACTCTCAACTTGCAATATCTGGGGATCGAGGCTAAGGACTTGCACTGCTTAGAAGAAATGATCACGGAGGAGGAAGTTTGGTAGGTGATTAAGGAGATGGCGCCGGACCGGGCACCAGGACCGGATGAATACATTGGAGCCTTCTTCCAAAAATCATGGCAGATCATCAAACCAGATGTCATGGCAGTACTAATGAAGCTATTCGTTGGAGACACTAGAGGCTTCGCCAAACTTAACAAACCAAATATCATCCTCATCCCCCGAAAAAGCTGACGCTGAAGAAATAGGGGACTACAGGCCCATCAGTCTAATACACAGCATCCCGAAGCTCTTCGCAAAAGTACTTGCCAACCGCCTCTGATTACCCATCAGTCTAATACATAGCATCCCGAAGCTCTTCGCAAAAGTACTTGCCAACCGCCTCCAATTACAAATGCATGAGCTAGTGGCGATGAACCAGTCCGCCTTCATCAAAGGAAGACATCTTCACGACAACTTTCTGTTGGTTCGTCAAGTGGCGAGGAAAATTCACGCGAGAAGAACCCTCGGCGTTATCATGAAGCTGGTGTAACATCCCAATTTTCAATTTGGATGTTATATTATTTTCATATTTGATGTTATACATAGGTCATCATATGCATAACATATTTTATTTGCATTTTGGTTGTGATCCTAGAAACCTTAAGCAACTCAAGGACCCAAGGAGAGAGTTGGGGATTTTATTTATTTTCATATTTGATTTTTTCTCAAATTTGAAAAGAGGATCAATTTGGTTTTAATATGTCCCTCTCCAAATATTTCCAAAATTTAAATTAAAAGAGAGAAGATAATATGGCTTCTTCAAAAATAGAGGAATATTAGAGGGAATTTTTTAAAATCAAATAAAAATTTATTTGAGATTTTATTTGAATTAGAAAAATATGCATTTTTTGAAAATTGCATTTTAGGCCAAAAAATGTTCACTTTGTTCTAAATATTTTATTTAGACGGTGAAAATTGTTTTTGGCATTTTTTTAAAAAAATATATATATTATTAGGATTTTTATTCGGGCGAAATTTATTTAAAAAAGGGTTTCTGCCCGACTGGGCCAAAGGCCCAGCCGAGCCGGGCCGCCGCCGCCGTACTCTCGGAGTCCGAGCCGGACTCCACCACCACCGCCCCTCGCCCGAGGAAGCCACCGCTCCCCTTTATATACGCCGCCACCCCCGGCCCCTCACCACCCCAAGTCGCCGCCCGCAGCCGCCTGCCCGCGCCGCGGCTGCCTGCTGCTCCGCCGCCGACGCCGCACGCAGCAGCACGCCGCCCCGCCTCGCCAGATCTCGCCTCACCGCCATCATCCTGGGTTTTTTCGAAGAATCGGTAAAAACCGATAAAACCGTCGCCCTGGTTTTTTCGTTAGATCGGTTTAGTTTGGTTTTTTCGGTTTCTCTAATTAGTGAACGTTCGTTCGAACATTTCTGTTAGCGAATGCTTTTCGTTCGTTTATCCCTGATAGTGAACGTTCGTTCGATAGTCTTTTTCTTTTATTTTTTTCTGCCAGGGACCTATCCGTGATTATCTTTATTGTAGATTAGCCCTGATCTTCAAACGTTCGCAACTTTTTGCTCGCTTGTCCAAATCCAGTGAAACCAACGCCAAAATCTTCGTCTCAGACCCCTCTTTCCAGTTAACCAACTTGAACATGATTTTGACAATTTAAAATTTGGTTGCAAGTAGATTTGAATTTGAATTTCTTTTGACCGCAGTTTGAGTTTCGTAACTCCGATTTGATTGATTCTTTTTGCAAATCAAAGCTCTTCTCTTATACTTTCGATTTGGATCTTTTCTCTTGAGTTTACCCTTGCATCTATTGCTTGAGTGCTTATGTATGCTTTTGTTTGTTTGCGATAGAGTTTCCAGAGTGCGAAGTGGAGTAGTTCGCATAGGGAGACATAACCCGCAATGTGGAGGATGGAGCCAGGGGTAAAATTGTGC